ACACACACACACACACACACACACACACACACACACCACCCCCACCCCAGACTAGTTTTACCTATTAATATCCTTCCCAACTAGAGATCATTGAAATGCTTCTCAGGTACACATAATTCGATGAATCCAAAAGAACCTTGAGCAAACTCAGATGTTCTTGAGGAAAAGGAATACGGACCCTTTCTTTTTAAAATCTGTTTACAACCTTAATCCTACTCTATAGGGGAGGGACATCACACGGTTGTCATTCATCCCATAATCTTTGCCCGCTCTCAGGTTTTAGTCATGGCAGGAAGGGCAAATCGGTGGTGACAGATTCACCTGGAATATGTTCAGTAACTTTGAGCTTTCTCTACACATTTTTTAATCTAACACATTAAACACAGTAATAACCTTCATTCCACCCAACATACCGTGGGTGAGAGAAGTCAAGTGCTCAGTAACGTGCAAGGCAAAATCAGAAGTAACCCCAAAGTACCAGTGCTCTATACTCATCAAACACATTGATTTACTTCCTCTACATGCGTAGGCCTCTCTGCCTCCTAAGGATTCCCCCAATCCACAATTTTTCAAATCATAAGGTATGATAGAAAATCATTTGGGGACACGATGTAGGTCAGGAGAAAGAGTTAATTAAGTTAGATAACCAGATGAGTGACATGTTGGAAGGACGGCATAGCCAGAATTCAACCTTTGACCTTTGTGAGAGTCAGAGCCATTCTTCTCCACCTCAGCTTTAAAGACATTTAGGGGGAAAAATTTTTAAGGTTTCCATGCCAGATGGTTAGTACCTGGCGCAAAAGATAGCGATCTTGCATACTGTTAAATGCTCTGAAAGATGGAAGGTCATTTGAAAAACCACATTGTTTTAAATAGCCCAGATTAGCATTGCTCTTAGTCTCTTTTCACGTTCTTGTTTTTTTTTATTTTAATTTATCTCAAACATTAGTAAGAACTGTTTTAGAAACATGTGCATGAGAATGAGTTCATTTACCCTGAGCCCCATTTGCTAGGCTGATTGAGGAGCAAACAAACTTTTAAGTATAAGAATTCCTAAACAGGGACTAACTACTCTGAAAGCTGAGCAAACCTAACCAAATCCATATACATTCATCTTAAATCCTTAATAATGTTTAGTTTTACATATCATATAGCAACCAGCATGGGAATTTAAACAAACAGTGAAATCAAATCACAGAAAGTGATGCCATCCTTAAGACAGAATGGCCTTGTGAGCAATAATGTCATCAAAAGAGGACTGTGAGCATTATGAATTAGACCCCCCAAAAAGCAATGACTGCTGTTCTAACCACACTGAAAAATATATAAATTGCACCAGTATATCCTCAAACAATAATCAGTTCCCCAAATACTTATATGCATCTAACACTCATATAATTAGACTGAATTTTAGACAATAACAAAAAATAATTTAATCATCAATCACATTTTATTCTGTTTCAAATAAAGGTGAGTGTATGTCTGTGTGCATATACACATGCAAATATTAAGTTTGGATCAGAAATTGAGATTGTGTATAATTATCCTCCTGGGGTCACGTGCATGTGGACTGGTGATTCCATAGCAAGTGTTTCAGCTTCTGGAGACGTGAATACAATGTGCCAATGCATTCTAATACAGCAAAGAGCAGATTGCTAGCACCCTCAGACCCGACTGGTTCATAGACAAAGCTTCAATTGTTATGTAACACGACCGCATAGTTCTTATATGGAGACAGATCTGTTTTAAATAAAAGGAAAAAAAGGAAGGAGCAGAGAAGATAATACAAGAAAAGCAAAGTTGGTCCCTGAATAATTTCCTAAAACATCAATTTTATTTTTGTAAGACCCTGAGATTTCACCAAAGTGAAAATTCTTTCAAGTGAAGAACTGGACAGTTCAAGAGACATCTACTGCAGCACAGCAAGGGGCTCTTCCGCCGTCCCTCCTTGGGTCCCTGTTGGTCCAAATTGAGGTGTTGCTCACTAGAAATTACAACCATAATTACTATACATAGGAGTTAAGACCGTGAGCTTTGGCACAAACTTGTTTACCATTTACTAACTGGGTGACCTTGGGCAGGTCATTTAGCCCCAATTTCCACAGGCCCAATTCACTATAGAGCTTCGTCTGACAGGAAATAGAGCACAGGTCAAAGCAGGGATATCAAATATATCAATACGTTTAAACTATTAGTCTTAATATAGTTGAGCTGTTCCTAGTGACTAAATGGCAGCACCTTTGTTCCATGGCTTTAGAACGGTTTCACCCCTTCATATAAAAGATGACCATTTTCTATTTAGCCACACAAAAGTCAGCTTGTAAAGATCGACTAACTGCTGAAAATGAAACCCCCTACATGTACCCTGAATTATCTAAAATGTCCTTCGCTTGCCCCATTTCCAAAACAAAGCCGGTTTCTGCAACCACCGAAAGTAAAAGAACAAGTCAAGCATTGACAAGCCCCACGCCTTGGTCCAGCCACAGGCCATGACGATCTACTGCCGCTCAGCTGAGAACAGAGTGCTTTAAAGGTTCCGGCGATTTGCAGCGGGGCTGGCAGCAAGTGCTTTCTGGCAGGTAGACTATTAATACCATTCGAAATGTTGTCAAGCACATGAACATGCTAATGGGAATATCGGAACAACATTCATCTGGGTAAAATTAATGCCAGGGGTATTTTTGCATTTTGTTTTGAGTTCTGGAACAAAGGGAGAAAAAGTGTTCTTTATGGCTTTGTTGACACTAAAAGATGAAACG